GTGGGTCATTCATTCCTAACTAACGCGATCGATTGATTTCATTGTAAGAACGAATAGTTTGATAATTAAATACTAATCGAACTGTGAACATTGATGCGACCGATGTGTCTTTAACAAAATCAAATGGAAACGATTCCCGGCTGAATAATTTAGCTCGTTTTCTATATACGCGTTTCGGTGCGCATTTTCGCCAGCGAAAAAGTCGGTCTAAAGCCTGTTTTGCATGCACGCGTGTTCGCGGCTTTTCCGTGTGCATTTTGCCGCTTACATGGAAATGGTCTCGTTTGCGTTAGACCGATTTTTCCACCGGCGGGAACACGCACGTGGGAGGGAATAGAGAGAAATGGTGTTTAACATCCACTCGACACAAACTAGGTCATTTCGGGACTAACACATAGTTCAATTTTATTTCAATAATTCGCTTGCGCGTAGGGATCTTTAGCAGTTTGAGGAAGCCGAAGGACCCGGAGAAGTGACCCGTAGACTCGTGCAACCGGGGAATCGAAACCACGCCAGTTGACTCAAGATTGGCAAGAGTAGCTGGGCCTTGAATAATTTTTATATAAAGTGTGTTAAAAAGGTTTGTTATGATGTTAAACAGTGTTGAACAGTTTGTATATAAATCTATCAAATACGATGACTAGTTAGTCTGGTATATGAGGTAAACCAACCTGTATAACGAGTAGACGTGTTGAGATTACAACACTAACACTGTTTAAAATGTTGATGTCTGGTGTTAGAAGTCAGAACACATCAAAGTCGCACCTCCTAAACACGTACAGCCTGCCTACAGTTATAACGTCAAAACAAAACTTCTGACGTATTTTGGGAACAGTCAAGGGCATCTGACGTATTTGTGGAGTAGTGACGCGCATCTTGTACTCGTGCGTTTTTGGGATTAGTCACGCGCATCAATTTCCATTATCAAAATAATTTACTGAGTAATAAAAAGAATGGAATAAAAAGACTTTTGTGGAACGCCAGCACCCTACATTCGGAGGCCATATTACCCAAAAATGCAGGGGGCGGTGGCCGAATGGTTAGCCCGTGCGCGTTGTTTCATAAGGTCTGTCATTGAACCATTTGTCGTGGTTTCGATTCCCCGGTTGAACGGGACAAGGCGTAGAGTCGCCCGTCCAACCTCATGGTTTCCTCCCACTGCTAAATACTCCTACGCGCAAGCGAATTATTGAAATAAAATTAAACCATATGTTAGTCCCCAAATAACCTGGTTTGTGTCGAGTGGACATTAACCCCCCCCCCCCCCCACACACACACACACACACACACCCATACACACATCAAAAAGAAAGAAGAAAATGTCCTACAAACCTTTCGTTATCATACTCCGTATTATCTCGTTATCATACTCCGTATTATCGACCAACAATCTTATAATTGGCAGAGCCTATTTCGTTTCGTTTTTTCATGTTTCAAAGTTTCGTTTTGCTTGTCTTATAGATCTATAGTTTACTTAGTCTCGATCATTCAGACAAATACGTTGAATACTAGGAGGTTCTGGGTGACCGAGACTATATTTTACTCAGATTGGCGTCATGCCGAAATGATTTCCATATAGAAATGAAACGACGGTTGTCGCTTTATTTTTCGGCACCAACCGGGTTACAAAGGCAGACATAACCATACAGTTTGCTATGGGGGAATTTCCCCCAGACAACACCGTTTCTGCCTAGGTTATACTTTTCCTCAAATTCCAACTGCCAAGGTTTCTTTTTCTTGAACCCCAACACGGAACCTCGGCATTTCATAACATTCAAACGACTAGACGCTGTTCATTGATAGGTTCCCCGTCCTACACCGCTGACAAAGAACGTTTCAGGCCAAATCCGAAATGTAACTCAACACCGCCTTGTTACTCAATGAGCCATCCGCCTTTATTTATTTTTCTCATACATAAAAAAAAATGTTTTAGAATTTAATTTTTTCGCAGGCAAAAAGTTAATATTTGTGGCTCATTAAGTCGCATCGATGTCATCCTTATTATCAGTGATTGTAGCGGTCTAGTGAAAATTCACTGCTGATCAGTGTGGTGTCTGGCCTGTGAGAATCGGAGTATCACAAAAGAAACACGCGGGGATTGATTGAATATTAGGAACTCTTCAATAAACAAGTACTTAAATCGTTAAGTCAGCGGAAGCTTTAAAATCTATAACCTGTAGCAGTTATAAAAGTTTGTCTGTCCGCCATCTTTTATTCATTGTTCGTGATTGTTCATAAAGTCGAAACGATCATTGGATTACAGACAATACAACCCACGTATTCTAATGAAATGAAATGGGGTATAACAACCTACTTTTCTCCTGCATCCGGGCTGAAATGAAATGGAATGGGGTTTAACGTCCTACTGTTCTGCTCCGATGCGGTTAACGAGAGAAAGAGAGAGAGAGGGGGGAGGGGGGGGGGGTAACGTCCACTCGACACAAACCAGGTCATTTCGGGACTAACATATGGTTCAATTTTATTTCAATAATTCGCTAGGGCATAGGGGTCTTTGGCAATGGGAGGAAACCGGAGAACCCGGAGAAAACCCAAGAGGTTGGACGGGCGACCCTACTCCTTCTCACGTACAACCGGGGAATCGAAACCACGCCAGTCGACTCAACGCTAGATCTTATGATACAGCGCGCACATGCTAACTATTCGGCTATCCACCCCGACCCCCTCCCACCAGTGAAGGCGGGCATATGATATGCAGTGTACTATGAGGGAAAGAATTTTTAACCGGACAGTGGTGCTACTCTTCTTTCGAATTCGAACTGTCAAGGTCTCTCTCTCTCTCTCTCTCTCTCTCTTTGATGCCTTTTAGAATGTTATGTTACTAGATTTTGTAGCAAATCCATCCTGTATTCTTCGGGATTCATATTTAAATTTCATCTCGACTTCAATAAAGAAGGCAATCATCAAAATATCTACATTCAATATCCCAATCAAGTTTTTGAAAGCCAAACCTCATAAACGAACTGCATTGTAAGTGTCACAAAGGATTTGGATCGAATCAAATTTCCTCCCATAAACTCACGTTTAAAAGAAATAATTTGATAATCCATCTTGTTGTCCGAGAATGTTAAAAGCTATCGATTCCTGGAATTCATTGGAGATCTCTGAAATCAATATCTCCACAGGATCTGTAACAATAAAAAAAAAATAATTTCGGTTTTAAAAAGGAAGAAATCAGAGCGGAGACGAGTGAGAGATGCATTAAGTAAATTTTATTATTGTCTAAAGTCAAACAAGTTCTCGACATTTCTCGGTTATTCATAACCAATATAGGTGAATGTTTGGAGATCACGGTGGCTAAGTGGGTAAGACGCTGACTCGCTAGCCTGGAGGTCGGGTGTTCGATCCCTGCATTGGCCGAGAAAGTTCATCCTTGTCAGTGATGCAGGACGAAGGGCCTGACAAGGACAGCTGTCTAGTCGTGCGGATGGGCCGAAAAACCGAGGTCCCGTGTACACATTGGCGTGCACGTAAAAGATCCCTTGGCAGTTGGAATTCGATATAAGAGTAGGCCGTAGTGCCGCTGCCCGGGCAAAATTTCCTTCATTGCACACTGTATGGCGTATGCCCGTCTTCATTAGCCCAGTTTAAGAGCAGAACAGTAGGACGTTAAACCCTATTTCATTTCATTTCATTTCAGGTGAATGTTTAGAGACTCATTGATCTAGACTTACTGTTTGAGAAAGTTAGTGCTAAATGATAAGGCCAGCTCAATTTTTCGTCATAGGTCACAAGATGTAAACAGGGCTAACGTTAATCCCAACCCTTACCCTAACCCTAGCTGGACCTAGCCCCAATGCTAACCCTAACCTACAATCTCGTTCGTCAACAATCACGTGCCCTAACCTTATTTACATCTCAGTGACCTTGACAAAAATTGAGCTGGCCTTAACAAATATATTTAGCCGCTAGTTATCTGGGCTCCGACTAGCAATTATTCGCCGATTGACTTCGATGTTAAATTGCTATAACATCACAGGCTGTAGCCTTTTGCTCAACAATCCCCTCGTCATAATTTTGTAGGGGGTTGACCGTTTAGATTTTTAGCTACGGAGATGTGTTGTTACTGGGGTGAAAATTACACTTCCGACACAATGATTGCTCTGCAGAAAGACATTTTACACCGCTATCCCTCCGCTGTACCAAAACTGCTATGAAATTGCAAATTTGATCCCTTTTCTCCAATTCTAGATTAAAATTCAACCCAAAAATGCAGGAAGAGGGGACAAAAGGATTAAGCGAAAAATTGTCTATTTATAACTCGCACTACATAATTACTAGTCTTAGTCCTATATCTGTCCACAGATAATTCAAACATTTACGGGCGTCAATCTGTTTCACAGAAATATTGCGAAAGCCATCGTATACCTCTGTACAAGATGGGGGGGGGGGGCTGAATGGTTAGCGTGCGCGCGCTATATCATAAAGTCTGTCATTGAGTCAAGAGAATTATTGAAATAAAATTAAAACCATACGTTAGTCCCGAAATGACCTAGTTTGTGTCGAGTGGACGTTAAACCCATTTCTCTCTCCCTCCTTGCTGTTTTACGTCAATAATGGAGGATCAATTTTGTTGAATATTCCAACCAATGATGCAAGGGGGGCTACTCCATTGACTTACCTATAAAACCAAAATACCAAAGCTTGATGATAATCTCCCGGCTTTACTTCATCCGGATTAAAAACAGACCCATCAATGTGGTTCACGGCAAATAAAGATGGAGATAGCCGTGTACATAGGCAGCGACATAGATTTTGAAGTTTTCAATTCGTCGTATCTTTGTGAATACCGAAGAGAACTGAACGATTTTTGACTGATATTAGAGATTTAACTTTCACAATTTTAATGTAGCTGGCAAGCGAGTCCTGTAGCCATATAGATCTGTATTTTAATCACATTGAAAGCCCAGTGTCCTCAAGTTGATATCTTCTACAACTTTTTACTGATTTAACGTTTGTTTCAATAATTACAAAATCAGATCTTCTTTGTTCTAATTATTTATTTGTAAAATAAAATAAAACATTAAAAATAATGTTGATAGAATTAAATTTGATTTCTATAAAGTATACAAACAAATCGGCATGGGTTGGATGTCTCCTCCCCCATCCACCATCCCCGATTTGCGCTTTACATGGGCGACATTAAAGAGGATAAACAGGTTATTAAGGAGAGAGAGAGAGAATTGGGGTTTAACGTCCACTCTACACAAACTAGGTCATTTCGGGACTAACATATGGTTCAATTTTATTTCAATAATTTCGGGACTAACATATGGTTTAGTTTTTTTGAATAATTCGCTTGTGCGTAGGGGTTGTTAGCAGTGGGAGGAAACCGCAGGACCCGGAGAAAACCCACGAGGTTGGACAGGCGACCCTACTCCTTGTCACGTACAACCAGGGAATCGAAACCACGCCAGTTGACTCAATGAAAGACTTTATGGTACTAACCATTCAGCCATCCAACCCCCCAGGTTATTAAGGACATAAAATACAAAACTAATAGGTTAAAGGTGCACTATGTAATAGTAAATGTAGTGGGGGGGGGGTGCACAACACACAAACATTTACACAATATACCAGTGATTCTCAACCAGTGTACCGCTGCACAGAGGTGTACCACAAGACCTTCCTAAGTGTGCCGCGACATTTTGAACGGCACACTAAGAAAATGTCTCACTAAAGAAGTCAGCTATTTGACTGATGAAATTCGAAACACTTTGCAATAAAGTAAGTTCATAGCTGTATTTTTCTTTATTTAGTTTGAGTCATTATATGTGTCTATGACTAGTCTGTGTTGTTGTTTTTTTGCAAAATTCAAATATTTTTCATATATATTAAGCCAGGTGTGCCGCTATGTTTGCATGTGTTCCAAGGTGTGCTGTTGGTAAAAAAAAGGTTGAGAACCACTGCAGTATACGGACACCACAGCCAACAAACATATATAGCACATCATGAGATCCACTGTGATGTTAATAGATGTGGTAAAAGAACTGGCCGTACTTGCTATAATAGTTTAAAAATAGATAATGAAAAATGAATATATTGAAAATTTCATTCAAATTACTTTATTCTGAGCGAAATTATGAATGTTTGAAGTTTTGATATGATATAGCTGAATTAGTCTCGATTGTCATGTACCATTGCTACGATGATAAACAAAAAAATGAAAATTAATTTAAACGTTAAATTATTAAATGTTAAGTTATTCATTATGGGCTCGACGATCATGTAAATCATAATGCAGCTGAACAAAAGACAAGGACCCGACTTCACAAAGCATTCTCAGACTTAAATTAAGAATTTACCCAACTTTCAATCACTGTTTATGAGAAATATCTTTGATCAAGAAATACAAAACCTTGCACATAGTTTCTTATTGATGTATTTGATACATTAAAACGACAAAAGTTTTATAAAGGGCTATATTTTAGTTCAAATAAAGCGAATAATTTTGAGTAAATTCTTTGCTTAAGTCTGAGAATGCTTTGTGAACTCGTGGCCTGCAATAGACAGATTTACCGATTGCATAATGTATCTTTAAAAGGTTTTTAATACTACGATTTCTAACTTATTGCCTTTGTAATAGTTACGTCACATAATAGAGGTGCTTTCAACTGGCAGGTGACCGTTACATCAAAAGACCGTTTACAGGCATGTGTTACGAGACCGTAAACGTACGGCGGTTGCTTTAACGCTGCTGAATTCATATACGCCGTTATGATTGATATTGTCTCTGGTTTGATCACATCCGGAAATGATCGGCTAAAATGTTTCATACACGTCACAACGTCCGAGACTCTATGTCGCTTAGCAACAACTTGAGACATTCTGTAGCCTTCACGGAGAACAGTGGTCTGAAACCCCGCTCTTTTGTTTTTAGAGGCTCTGTAGATGTAACGTATTGAGGATATACGTGGTATCGCTTGCTTCTGGTTGATGGTGATCGACATTTCACTTTTGAGGTATCGCTGCAGTTTGTTATCAGCTGAAAGAAATAGAAATCAAATGGAAATGGAAATCGAATGGAAATGGAAATCAAATGGAAATGATATGGGGGTTAAACGTCCTGCTTTTCTGATTCGACTGGACTAATGAAGGCGGACATATGCTATATAGTGTGCTATAAGGGAAAGTTTGCCCGGCTTACTCTTACATCGAATTCCAACTGCCGGGTGATTTTTTACGCACACGCCAACTGTACACAGTACCTAGGCTTTTCGTTCCATCCGATGGAATATACGTAGTCCCTTGCCAGGTCCCCCATCTTGTCCTACTGACAATCCAGGGATCGAACACGAAACCTCCAGGTAAGCGAGCCATCGTCTTACTCACCGAGTTGCTGCGACTCATGAAAGAAATGGTAACAGTGAAGGAGTCTGGGTAATCAAGTTCCATAAATACAGGTCTCTAAGTTTTAAAGACCATATAATGATCATTGTCAATCTCTGTATTATTTGTTCTCTGACAACAGGGCGGTTGGGTGGCCGAATGGACAGCGCGTGCGCGTTGTATCATAAGGTCTGTCATTGAGTCCGCTGGCGTGGTTTCGATTCCCCGTTTGTACGTGACAAGGAGTTGGGTCGCCTGTCTAACTTCATGGGATTCCTCCTGCTAAAGACCCTACGCACATGCGAATTAAGGTGTAAGGGAGATAACCCAATAAATTACTTATCTCCCCAACATACCGATGATCTTATCATGTTACAATTCTTTGATAAAAATATGGAGGAAGGTTGTTCGTTTCGATTTTTGCTAGGCTGGTTAAGGGAATCATTTCATTGTGCAGGTAGCCTAAGAATAAGAAGAAGTATGTTAAGACGAATCCTACCTAATCCAGCAATCTTCAATTCTATAGGATAGTGATCAGAGATATCTTCTGCCTTGAATATACAAATAAAATGAATTAGTGTCCACGGGTATGAACAAGTACGGACGCTCTATGGACGAGGAACGAAGTCTTGTTGAAACGTCGTGTGTGTATAATATAGTGATTGTTACCCATAGAACTGTGTTGTTGTGTTATATTATGTTCAATCGCTAAATATCATTCAAAGATTAAATTATTTTATTACATATAGTTACCTCGTCTCTCGTCAAGTTATATGCCGCATCAAAGGCAAAAGTTTTAGCACTTCCAGGAACGACAGCTTTAGTTAATTGTTTCCCGGCAACAACAAACCTGAAACGTCAAAATTAGTCATGTCTCAAAATACGCAATTGGAATACTACTTGCACTGCAGGTGTGTTGCCCATTCCGAAATATGACGTCATTCGTAATAATATCGAAATTAAATATTTCTGAACTAATGGGTATTCTAAATATACGCTAATGCCAAAAAATTGCAACGTGCGTGTATATATATGAGAGAAAAATAGGGGTTAAGGTCCACTCGACAAAAACTAGGTCATTTCGGGCTTAACGTATGGTTTTAACAGTGGGAGGAAATTGGGGACTCAGAAACAACCCACGAGGTTGTCAGTACAAGCTGGCATTTGAGACCTTGCTAGTTGACCCAATGACGGGACTTATGAAGCCTTATGAACTAAGGCGCACATATTAGGCTATTCATCCATCCTCCCGCTTTCCCCTTGACACAATATAACCAATATGGTGAACATCAGAAATATAAACGAAACAAATAGCAATCTAATTTAGATTCAACCGAGAGTTCTAGTCCAGATTCCCTTTGTCAGTATGGGGCAGCTGGTAAAGAGCAGCTGTCTAGTTGTTCGGATGGTACGAAAAACCGAGGTCCAGTATACGACGCTGTCCAGGCAAACTTGTCAGGCATAACACACTGCATAGTATATGCCCGTCTTCATTATCCTGGTCGGTACAGAAAAGTAGGATGTTAAACCCCATTTCATTTCATATACTAACGCACCTGTCATAGGCACAGTCTGTACTGCCAACTGTTGTATCTACGTCATCGTTTATCAACCAGGAAAAACGACGATCACTCCTTAGAGTTATCTTCTCCCAGTCTCCTTTCCTGACGTAATCGCCATCAGCATTGAAATCACCGGCTATAATAATATCCTACAAATAGAAATAAAATTCCACTATAATAATACACTAAAAATAGAAATATAATTCCACTATAATAATACCCTAAAAATAGAAATATAATTCCACTATAATAATATCCTAAAAATAGAAATATAATTCCATTATAATAATATCCTACAAATAGAAATATAATTCCACTATAAGAATACCCTAAAAATAGAAATAAAATTCCACTATAATAATACCCTAAAAATAGAAATATAATATCCTAAAAATAGAAATATAATTCTACTATAATAATATCCTAAAAATAGAAATATATTTCCACTATAATAATACCCTAAAAATAGAAATATAATTCCACTATAATAATACCCTAAAAATAGAAATATAATTCCACTATAATAATATCCTACAAATAGAAATATAATTCCACTATAATAGTATCCTAAAAATAAAAATATAATTCCACTATAATAATATCATATACCCTAAAAATAGAAATATAATTCCACTATAATAATATCCTAAAAATAGAAATATAATTCCACTATAATAATATCCTAAAAATAAAAATATAATTCCACTATAATAATATCCTAAAAATAGAAATATAATTGCACCATAAAAATATCCTAAAAATAGAAATATAATATCATAAAAATAGAAATATAATTCCACTACAATAATATCCTAAAATACCCTAAAAATTTTAAAAATTGAAATATAATTCCACTATAATAATATCCTAAAAATAGAAATACAATTCTACTATAATAATATCCTAAAAATAGAAATAAAATTCCACTATAATAATATCCTAAAAATAGAAATATAATATCCTAAAAATAGAAATATAATTCCACTACAATAATATCCTAAAATACCCTAAAAACTACAAAAATAGAAATATAATTCCACTATAATAATAGCCTAAAATAGAAGTATAATTCCACTATTATACTATTCCATTATAATAATAGCCTAAAATAGAAGTATAATTCCACTATTATACTATTCCATTATAATAATAGCCTAAAATAGAAGTATAATTCCACTATTATACTATTCCACTATAATAATACCCTAAAATGATTAGATAATAGTTTTAATACCAAGATGTCGATAAGATTGATAGATAATAGGTTTTTTTTAATACCATGAAATGAAATGAAATGAAATGGGGTTTAACGTCCTACTGTTCTGCTCCTAACCTGGGCTAATGAAGACGAGCATACGCCATACAGTGTGCTATGAGGGAAATTTTGCCCGGGCAGCGGCGCTACGGCCTACTCTTATATCGAATTCAAACTGCCAAGGGATCTTTTACGTGCACGCCAATGAGTACACGGGACCTCGTTTTTTCGTCCCCTCCGACCCACTAGACAGCTGTCCTTGTCAGGCCCTCTATCTTGCATCGCTGACAAGGGGAAACCACGCCGGAAAATCTGAATGAACTTTCTCGGCCAATGCAGGGATCGAACACCCAACCTCCAGGCTAGCGAGCCAGCGTCTTACCCACTTAGCCACGTGATCCCCCTTTAATACCATAATTTAGATATGATTAGATAATAGTTTTAATACCATGATATAGATAAGATAATAGTTTTAATACCATGATGTAGATATGATAAGATGATAATAGTTTTAATACCATGATGTAGATATGATTAGAAGATAATAGTTTTAATGTAGATATGATAGAAAGATAATAGATTTAATACCATGATGTAGATATAATTGAAAGATTATATTTAAAAGTTTAATACCTCGAGATCCCAGTGATGTTTGGTTTTCTCATAAACTGTGTGTAATGCCCTGATCTCTCGCACGGCATTTTTAGGTGACGTATGAATAGCAATTATAGCAAAATCTTTTATCTCTGCAAAAAAAAAGACGTGGTTCAGTGAGTATCGGGATGGCACATTAACCAAGAAGGGTCGGGTTCGATAGTTCCTCGGGATAGGCGTTCATATGGGAAATAAAATTCAAGATGTACTCTGTATTCGTTGGCGTGTATGTTAATGACCCCCATGACTCGTTGGATCAATACAAATACAGATTTTTGGCCACAACAGACACTTTGCTTAGCCTGTAATAAAGTTCAGTTGAGTTTAGTTCAGCAAACAGCATGACGTTTGCCCGTCAACTAGGTCATTTCGGGATTAACATATAGATCAATTCTATTTCAATAATTCATTTTCTCGTAGTAGAAAGAGACCGGGGGACCCGTAGAAAACACACATTGGTTGGACTGGCGATCCTACTCCTTGTCACGTACAAGTAGGGAATCGAAACCACGCGACTTGACTCAATGACAGACCTTCTTCGGTAACCCAACCCCTATCTTACTTGAGGAATTCACAAAGTTTATTACACACATACAAATATCACTCAATCTAGTGGATGTTGTTCACGGCCATGCCTACTGTTTCTAGAAAATTTGATACCACTTTGCACTTGAGGAATTCACAGGGTATGTTTACTCTGTGTAGAACATCTGATACCATTTTTCTTTTGAGGAATTCACATAGCTTACAAACTTTTTTTGGTACCTTTGCATAAAACAAATACCATACCTGTTGTTGGACACTCAAATCTAACAGCAAACGGTTCCCGTGCAAAGACATCCGTGCCATCGTCGACACCATCATCGTACTGATAAACATCAGTTATACGAAGTTTTCTACATCTATAAATATAAACACCAGATGAAGTGATAGGCATTTAGTAATTAAATGTACATTTTAAGGTAGAGAATGCGGCCTTCCTGTATAAGGGTGTGGCCTACCTGTGTAAGGGTATGTCCTACCTATATAAGAGTGTGGCCTATCTCGATAAGGGTGTGGTCTATCTGCATATTGGTTTGGGGTACCTATATAACGGTGTGCTTTATCTGTATAAGGGTGTGACGTACCTGTATAAGGGTGTGGCATACTTTTCTAAGGGTGTGGTCTATCTGTATAAGGATGAGGCGTACCTATATAAGGGTGTGGTTTACCTGTATAAGCGTTGTCTGCGATATCACCTCGGTGAAAGCGGACGTAAAATACAACTAACTCACACACTGTATAAGCGTGTGATGCACCTGTATAAGGGTGTGATGCACCTGTATAAGGGTGTGATGCACCTGTATAAGAATGTGACCAACCTGTATAACTTACCGATATAAAGTCGTGAACTAACTGTATAATAGCGTGACCTTCATGTATAAGGGTGTGATATACCTTTATAAGGATGTGGTCTACCTATATATAGGTGTGGCCTACCTGTATAAGGTAAATAATTTAACCTACCTGTATAAGAAAGCGTATTGTTCTTTACAGCCCTTTCTACCCAATCGTTCACTCACTTCATATTTATACGGGTTGTAAGGATCTACGCTAGAATATTTATAAAACATTAAATAAATGAAATGGGGTTTAACGTCCTATTGTTCTGCTCCAAATGGGCTAATGAAGACGGGTATACGCATACAGTGTGTTATGAGGAACATTTTGACCGGTCAGTGGCACTACGGTCTACTCCTATATCGAATTCCAACTATTGTGGGTTCTTTTACATGCACGCCAATGTGTACACGAAACCGCCATGCAGCACTGACAAAGGGAAACCACGCCGGAAAATCCTGATAGGGATCGAACAATCGTCCCGACATATTTTCACTCCAGATCCCGTAGAAAGGATGTGAAACGGTGAGACCAATATATTATAACAAATTAAATTAACTACATTTATTTTCTTGCTGAAAGCCACAACACGTCTTTAAACATACACTTTGCAAGTCTTTACTTAGGCCTGAAATGTTTTCTAAATTATTAATTAGACATTAATTAACTTATCCAGACCATAATCAATTCTCAATGGCATCGGATTTCTCCGATATTAAATAGATTAGAACAGTTCAGCCATATTTTGAGTTAATTTAAAAATGGAGGAGCGAGACTGAGCTTCTAACAACCAGTACGGTGGTTGAAATTATTGCACACGTCTTGGTCAAACCGTCAAAGGCCAATATCTTCGCTCGCAATAGAGTACTTGGAATGGAATTTTCAAATTATTCATTTTACATTATCTATTTTCGAACTATTATAGTAAGAATGGCTAGCTCTTTATCTAAATTTTACATAATGTATCTTTCTTTAATAAATGATATTTTATACAAATTTATAAATAAACATCTTACGTGTTGAGATTATTCAGTAGTTTATCCAATGATGTTTGATGACGATCTCGTATTTCTTGAATTACCAATATGTCATACCTTGTTATGATCTATATTAAACAGAGAATATTGTAGTATGTAAATATAAAAGATAATATTGTTGTATCTATATTAAATATAGATAATAATATTGTAGTAACTATATCAACTACAGAAGATGATATTGTAGTATTTAAATATAGAATATAATATTGTAGTATGTATATCAAATATAGAAGATAATATTGTAGTATGTATTAACTACAGAAGATAATATTGTAGTATCTATATTAACATAGTATTGTAGCATATATATTGACTACAGATGATAATATTGTAGTATCTATATTAACATAATATTGTAGTATCTATATTAAACATAGAAGATAATATTGTCGTATCTATATTAACATAATATTGTAGTATCTATATTAACACAATATTGTAGTATCTCTATATTAAAGATACATTATGGGAGATTCGGTAGTTGGAAGAGTAGGCACTGGGTGGGAAGGTCGCTATCCATGCAAAAATGACCCCATGGCACACTGCATGGGTCCTGTAGGAGCACAATGGTCCCATTTTATTTCATTTGTAATATACCATTATGATTCTTCCCGGTGAGATTCGATATTTTGAATCATTCGGGGGTTCTCGGCTGCAAAAAAAAATTGTAAAAATCAAAAAAATCTAAATAGCATTTTAGTTCAAAAATATATAGAGAAAAAAAGACATTGGCTTACCTTCATCAATATTTCAGTTACAATTTTCTGTCGCATTTTTCTTATCCCAAATATCTGAATATTGAAAGCACCAATAGTTAGAGGCGGTGCCGCGATACTGTTCGTACATGTCGGCTCTTCTAGTTGCACTTCTGTAAAAATATCAAGTTTTAAAACTTCTAATATTATGATATAAGTTTTATTCTCTGGATTTCACAAAACACTTCTGTAAAAATATCAAGTTTTAAAACTTCTAATATTATAAGTTTTACTCGTACGCAATTGAAGTGTACACTTCCACTGACAGTTCCAAAGACATTTCATCGTCACTTCTAGAACCACTTCCAACAACGCTACTTTTTAAGTGTAATAAAAATTCCACCTAGGTGTTCTTTTCATGGACACTCCCTAAAGATCGTCTGATTCCACAACATGGCCACAAAACACTAATTGAATGTAGAAAGTTTATCGGAAGCGATTTTCTAGTCTGGTCCCCCTTGACAGCAGTGCAGGACAGAGTGTCTGACAGTGGTGCAGGGCAGACGGTCTGACGGTGATGCAGGGCAGACGGTTTGGATGGAACGGACGCAATGGGATCGAACCGGTGGCTTAGTGGGTAAGAGTCTAGCCAGGTCTCGGGTTTCCTCCCGGTATTGGCCGAGAAAGTTCCTATCGACTTTCCGGCACGGTTTGTCCTTGTCAGTGCTGCAGGACGGGGGGCCTGACAAGGACAGTTGTCTAGTCGTTCGAATGAGAAATGAAATGAAATGAAAATGAAATGAAATGAGGTTTAACGGCCTACTACTGTTCGGCTCCGACTGGGCTAATGAAGACGGGCATACGCCATACAGTGAAATGAAATGATATGGGGTTTAACGTCCTACTTGTTTGCTCCGACTGGGCATTTGAAAACGGGAGTCACAACCGAGGTCATTTGTACATATTTGGCGTGCACGTAAAACAGCCGTTGACCTTTGGAATTCGATATAAGAGTAGAAAAATAGGACTTTAAACTCCATTTCATTTCATTTCTGTTCCAGTACGACAAAAAAATCGCACCGTATACACTGCTCTCTTAGGATTAAAATATTGCCAGTTTCTATTAAATCAGACGTATTGAACGGATATGTGTAGTTTAAACATACATTATGCAAGAGCTAAATCTGCCAATTGCAGGTCTTTCTTTAGGTCTGAAATAAACTATTAATTAGACATTTATTAACACGAAAAGACCTTAATCACCCCTCGATGTCATTGCTAGCCTGCGCAGGGGCGGATTGGGGCCGGGAATCGGCCCGGGCTCCCTTGTCGGAGCGGCCCCTTTTACTGTCCGCGGAGCCTGGACGGGGGGTCCGAGGGCTCTCCCCCTGGACAATTTTGAAAAATAAACCCCAAATATGCGATTTGGTGGCATATCTGATTATAATCTCTGTCAAATAATATATCTCATAAATCGATTAATTTTGGCCAAAACCCCTACCTGCAAGTAATTTACAACCATCAACCTGTGAAATTATCATATCGTCATATTATTAATTAACGTATTATCATTGTATCGTCAAGAGTCAAGATAATTTAACTGGTTAAAAAATGGGACTAGTTGAGAAAATGTTGTCCATTTGATTAACCAGTTAGGAATATTGAATAAGTAGGAATATTTTCATTGAAAAATGTCCCATTTTTGTTGCTGGGAGCGCTAGGCGATTCCTCCCGTGATGGAAGGCCACGTGACACATTGTACAGGGTGACGAAAGTGAAATTCATGAAGTCTATTATACCAGCCCATTCCAGACTCCAGTGATGGCGTGGCGGCCCGTTAGCCACCAGCCACATACAACATGATCATCATCGCTCCATGGCCGGTCCAATACCCCCGCCCCCATATAATGTTCAGCAGAAAAAAGGTTTTTTAGACGAATTGGACAAAATTATTTTCTTTCATTTTTTGTCCGACCGGCCCTTCGGGCGATCGCCCGACCGCCCGATGGTCCAATCCGCCCCTGAGCCTGCGATATTTACTGAATTTGAATCGGATCTGCTGCTCAACGCTCATTCGTGATTAAATAAAAAAAACTGGATAATCGAGACTGTGGTTTTTTTTTTCATCGTACCGACTGTAGTAATGGTGATCGAGGCTAGACCTAAAATTCAATCACTAATACCTCGGTTCAGAGTGGAGCAATTTGAAATTTTCAGCATATTCCCTTTACATTATCCAGTTTTTAACTGTTATAGTCAGGCAATGCCAGCTCTTCAGATAATCTCCCATAATGCTCCTTTAAAGTGCAACCTGTCAGGTGGCTTACAAACATTGGTATTTTCCAACAGACACAAATAAATAGTTCAATTAAATCGAGTTCTTTTGTTCAAATTAAAAGAGTAATTCATTTCCCGTTATTGCCTGTTCATCTATAATATATTACAAATAAGTTCCGTTTAAGATTAATCCGTACTTCCAACTCAAACAAACTTTCATTAAATATTTTCCATACATATCTATTATTTACTGAATCTATAAAAAAAATCACGGCCTTCGATTAAACAAAAACTGATTTTCTGTAATTGTGTTTTTAATAGATCTTTTGGTCTGGGAAACAGTCTGACGTAGAGAACACGTGATATTTATGGAGAAATTTGAAATCCTGAAAGTTTATTTGGTGTTAGTTCTATTACAGTAGTCGGTCGGGTTTATTAACTCTGGCGTAGAGAACACGTGATATATTTAGAGAAATTTATTTGGTAATAGTTATAACCAAAGACAGTGCACTTGATAGACAATTATATTAACCGGTGAGCTCAGATATATTAACCTGTGAGCTCAATTATAATAACCTGTGAGCTCAGTTATATTATCCGGTGAGCTCAGTTATAAGCGATATCTATTAGACGGAAAGAACGGTTTATTTTGAAAGGTAATGTATAATTAATTTTTTTCTCTTTGGTTATTTACAGCGTGGTTTCGCTTTAACAGTGTTGCAGGACGGAGAGCCTGGAGAGGAGACGCGCACAGTCGTTCGGATTGGACGACGAACCCAAATCCAGTATATATGGTGCATGCACGTAATTGAACCCTTCACTGTTGTAGTTCGAATGCGAGTGGGGGGTTGGATGGCCGAATGGTTAGCACGTGCGTGCTGTATCATAAGGTCTGTCATTGAGTCAACTGCCGTGGTTTCGAATCCCCGGTTGTACGTGACAAGGATTAGGCTCGCCTGTCCAACCTCGTTGGTTTTCTCCGGGTCCTCCTGTTTACTCCCACTGCTAAAGACCCCTACGCGCAAGCGAATTATTGAAATAAAATTAAACCATATGTTAGTCCCGAAATGTCCTAGTTTGTGTCGAGTGGACGTTAAACCCCATTTCTCTCTCCCTCTCTCTCTCTCGAATGCGAGACGAGGAAAACGTGTTGTCGAGGCAACAAAGGCAGACGTTAAACCCCATTTCATTCTATTTTGTTAAGGAAAGTTGTGAGGTCTCTAGACTCTTTCTTGAATATGATGTTTATTTTAGTATAGGAAATGTTTATTTTTAATGAAATGGCGCTTAACGTCCTACATTTCTAGCCTATCCGAGCTAATGACGTCTAGATCTATTTGTTAAGGCCAACTCAATTTTTGTCAAGGTCGCCGAGATGTAAATAAGGTTAGGGCACATGGTTGTTGGTGAGATTGTGGGTTATGGTTAAGGTAAGCGTTAGAGCTAGGTCCAGGGTTGGGGCTAGGGTTGGGATTAGCGCTAACCACATGAATGTCCCGTTCTGAAGGCTATCTAACCACGGCCTTGGGTCTTACCACAGTTACTGATCTTCACGATCTCTTCCTCCTTAATTGTAGGTAGTCAATTTTACCATATCGTCATCATATTACCCCTAGTTACAGCTTTCGTCGAGGTAAACTGTTCGTGTTTATTATTTTGGTTTGGTAATGAAAGGTTCCAGGGTTCGTCCGTCCCCCCCCCCCCAAAGTTATGACAAATCCACGCCCTTGTGTACGGCCTACTCCTATTTCGTATTCCGACTGTCAAACGTTAGTTAGTTGTGCGCCAAAGTGTATTAGCGACCTAGATTTCCCGTTCCATTCGAACGGTTTAGACACTGTTCCATGTCAGCGAGCCAACACCTTAATCATTGAACCCCTCGACTCATTTCAAATAGTGTTTAGCACAATTCAAATCGCACATAAAGATAGAAGCGAGGGCGGTGATGCAATAAGCAATTAATCGTCTCGGGTCGCTGTAACTAAAGAATGCCGGAAAGTGGGCAAATATTTTTTTGGTATTTTGTTCTACAAATGCGATCTATCAGACATTGACAGCGAAACGAAGTGATTGCAAAGAAAAACAATGTGATCATGGTAATATTAGAAGGTTTTTACTTTAAAAACCATTTAAGAGAGAGAGAGAGAGAAATGAGGTTTAACGTCCACTCGACACAAACTAGGTCATTTCGGGACTAACATATGGTTTAATTTTATTTACATAATTCGCTTGCGCGTAGGGGTCTTTAGCAGTGGGAGGAAACCGGAGGACCCGGAGAAAACCCACGAGGTTGGACAGGCGACCCTACTCCTTGCCACGTACAACCGGGGATTCGAAACCACGCCAGTCGACTCAATGACAGACTTTATGATACAGCGCGCGCACGCTAACCATTCAGCCATCCAACCCCCCACAAAAACCATTTAAAGATAATTAAATTATTTATTTAATCCATTAAATATTCTCGTTATTTGTGTCTTGTGTCTTTTCCAGCGTGGTTTCCCCTTGTCAGTGATGCAGGGCGGAGTGTCTGACAAGGACAGCTGTCTAGTCGTTCGGATGGGACGAAAAACCGAGGTCCCGTGTACACATTGGCGTGTACGTAAAAGACCCCTTGGCAGTTGGAATTGCCGCAGCCCTGGCATAATTCTCCTCATAGCACACTGTAAGGCGTGTTCCCGTCTTCATTAGCCCGGTCGGACGTTAAACCATGTCATTTGTGTCGTGTGTCGCTTGCGAAGTGGCTGAAATAGACCGCTGTAGAGTTAAGTAATTTTCTCACGCTGTACGTGTGAAGGAAGTGCGCATTCTGAACATAAGAGGCACTCTTATACCCGCGGAGAAGTATACAGCTAGCCATATTTAGTTTTCGAGCGATAGCCACGTATGGGGGAAG